GCCCTTGCACTGTTCACCATGTAAGAACTTATTCACTATGTAAGAACTTGTTCACCATGTAAGAACCTGTTCGTTATGCTTCAGAAGATTGGAGACTGACGAGAATTAGGCTTGGGGTCGATTAATGACTGTGCATTGAGTCCCCTATACAGAATTTTATTGTTGTTAACAACCATTTGATCAATAAATATGAGAGATGCCCTCTCAAAAAACAAAAAAGTTTCGTACAATTATAATTTTGATAGATACTTCAGTCGCCTTTCATAGGCGTCATTCCCTTTCACACTCACACTGACACTGCTGCTCCATTTCTTGAGACCCTCCCCCTGGTTCCCCTGGGCCCTGGTTCTCCTTTATCTCTGTCCTTCCCTTGCTTTTCTTAACATTTCTTGCCATAATTGGCCCAATACTTCCTTACGTCTGTTTCTTTTTCCTTGTTCCCACTTTCCTATAATCGCTACAGTGGCTTAAAACTCTTCTAAAAATTACTTATTCTTAGATTTTTATTGTTTTTCTCCCAGCCATGGGGCTTCAAGTGGTTCCCCTGGGGTTCAGTACAGGTCCCCACGCTGGTGGTAGAAGCCCTCACGCTTCCAGGTGCTCAGATGCCGAGAGGGACGTCAGAAGATTAAGACACTGTCACATTCATGGTGTGTTCTCAAATGTAATTCAAAGACAAAAGCAATTTAGTAACGTTTCCCCTGTTTTGCAGAGAGATTGCTTAGTCTAATCCTAACATTTATTTGCCGTTTTAGAATTGATATGTTACCTATGCTTGTGTGTGGGGATTTTGTTTTCTGGCCTCCTGTCTTTGAATTACCAACAAACTCGAAGTAGGCAATTATTTCTAGAAAGTGACCGATGTTATTTCTGCAGGGTCTCCAAAAAGCCTAGGGAAATGAAAGGAAAGAAAAGCAAAAAGATTTCTCTGAAATACACAGCAGCAAGACTGCATGAAAAAGGAGTTCTTCTGGAAATTGAAGACCTGCAAGTCAGCCAGTGGGTATTTGCTTCTTTACTTTGTTCTATATGTTCACTTTTTTAATTTCTGCATTTATCACTTCTTTATTTCATTGCCTTTATTTCTCTTCTCTGGGGTCATTTTTATATTTCTGTTAGAATCAGGCCTACTACTCAGAGTTCATTTGCTGTACGAGGGGAGGTATTTCTTTTCCTTGTCTGCGGACATTTGTGTCAGGACGTCACACCTGCTGGTGTGGCCCTCGTTTAACTTTTCCACTTTAACACGGGAAGCCATTCCGTCTCTTTTGTGTCTACATCAAGAGTATAAATAAGGATAACAACAAGAAGAGGAGTTTACTTTATTCCACTGAGGCTAGGAGCTGGGGACTTGCCCTCGTTTTCTTTTCTGAGAAGCGCAGCTCGCGTTGCACGAGGCTGTGGCCTGACCTGACCGTGCCCCCTGGGCTTCGGCCTAGCTGTATTAGCAGACGCTCACCGAGTACCTGCCCAGCCAGCCCTGTGATCTCAGGCAGCCACACTTCCTATTCTTGGGTCATTTAAAAATCAAAACAAATCTGTTTTTAAAGAAATTTTTGTATTTTCCTAATTTTAAAATAATATATATTCATTATTGAACTTTGAAAATACTGTAATGCATGAAGATAAAATACCTGTAATCCTACAAGCCAAAAATAACCACTGAAATCATTTTAGTGTATTTTCTTCTATGCATCTGTTTACATAAAAATTATCTCACCACCTGCTTATTATCTATCTGCCTACTGTTTTCTTTTTTTATTATTATTAAGGTATGATTGATATACACTCTTATGAAGGTTTCACATGAAAAAATAATGTGGGTACTACATTTACCCATATTATCAAGTCCCCTCCCGTACCCCAATGCAGTCACTGTCCATCAGTGCAGCAAGATGCCACAGATCCACTATGTGCCTTCTCTGTGCTACACTGTTCCCCCGGTGACCCCTACACCATGTGTACTAAATACCCCTCAGTCCCCTTCTCCCTCCCTCCCCACCCGCCCTCCCACGCCCCTCCCCTTTGGTAACCACTAGTTCATTCTTGGAGTCTCTGAGTCTGCTGCTATTTTGTTCCTTCAGTTTTGCTTCATTGTTATACTCCCCAAACTGCCTGCTGTTTTCTTAACATGAATTGGGATGATACTATTTAGTCATGCATCCAACTTTTTTCAAATAACATATCAGTAAGCATTTTTCACATTCTTTGAAAGCATCCTTTTTAATGCCCATGTAATATTGTAGTTAAAATATCACCACTCACCTGTTGTGCAACATTTAAGTTTTTACTTTTTACATTATTACACAGTGGTAACACCTTTATATGTAAATCTTTGATCCTATCTCTGATTACTTTTTTATGATAGATGCCTAAAAATGGAATTTCTAGTCAGAATATAAAAATAATTTATTTGTTATAAAAAAACACAAAACAAAATTTACCATCCTCACCATTTTTTAAGTGTACAGTTAAGTAGTGGTAAGTACATTACATTGTCGTGCAACAGATTTTCAGAACCGTTCCATCTTGCAAAACTGCAACTCTATACCTGTTAAACAATGACTCCCTGTTTTCCCTTCCCCCAGCCCCAGGCAACCACTATTCTACTTGCTGTCTGTCCCTCTGTGAACTTGACTACTCTGTGAACCTCATAAAAGTGGAATCATGGAATACTTGTCTTGTTGTGGCTGGCTTATTTCCTTTAGCATGATGTCTGCATGGCTCGTCCATGTTGTAACATGTGACAGATTTCTTTCCTTTTTAAGGCACTATGATACTCCATTGTATGTATGGACCACATTTTGTTTATCCTTTTGTCTGTTGTTGGACACTTGGGTTGCTTCCACCTCTTTGCTGTTGTGAAATGCAAATGCTGTGAACACGGAAGTGTAAATACTTTTCAGGACCCTGCTTTCAAGTCTTTTTGGTATATAACTGGACGTGAGATTGCTGCATCATATAACTGCCAAAGGATTTTCTAGTAGTGTCTGAAATGTGAGGGGAAGTGCTTACTTATTTCACTACTTCCTTGCCATCGTTGACCACTTGCTTGTTGTTTTTGATGCTTTTGAATTTAATAGTTTAAAAATAATATCTCATTTTAAAATTTTGCATTTCTTAGAATTCTGATTGTGTTTTTTGTGTGTTTTAAATCATTCTTATTTATATTTTCTTTGGTCATTTTCACAATTAGGGACCTCTGTCTTTTTGGGGATTTTTTTGGTTGAACATTTCATGCATTTTTCAAATCTGTTTCATAATATTTATTATCTCTTTCCTTTCCTTTTGTCATTATTTTCCACTGCTATGTAAGGGCTTATCATTATTTGTCTCTCATACTTCTTTCTAAATTTGCCCCTGTGGGGTTTAGAAACTAGGTAACAAACCAAATCAGTTAAAATAAAAGGATTTTGTACGTAAATAAACGTCCTTAAGGACTAACCTGCGAGGCCCCCTGTTGAGGAAGGGGCCTGTGCTTTGGTGCAGAGACCTGGTGCCGCCTCGTGCTGCTCTGCGGCCTCTTTTGCATCCTTGGTGGTTCTCAGCTCTGTTCATAATAGGTAAGTTCACTCTGTAGGTGAGTTCTAGAAATCTTAGGTGAGGTCCTTTGACCACCTGAGGAACAGCATGTTCCCACTTTCTTCTGGTGCTTTTAAAATTTCTGGACAGGTAACATGTTGAGAATGAGCGACACCTGAAGTATTTTCTTAAGTAGCACCTACTCTTTGCAGAAAACCTGCTCGCTTGTTTTTTTTTGTTCCGACCCCCTTTTGTTGACTTACTCAGTTTTGCCGGCCCTCAGACATGCACCTCCTCGCACGCACCCTTTCCCTCTCTCCTCCAGCCCAGTCTCCTCCGGATTCTCCTTTTGTTTTTAGGCCTCAGCAGTGGCCACACGGAGGACCAGCAGGATCCCTCTGACATCATCCCTTTTGAGGCCACTTGCGGCGTCCCTCAGGGGTTCCTCTTGCAGCGGAATACGGGTGCCACGGGGAGAGGCTGCCATTCTCCCCCCGAGCCCTAAAGCAGACGGCGCCTAGTGCAGCCGTCCCATGCTGCTCATCTGCAGATGTGCTTTGCAAATTTATTTTATACCCCTATTCATTCTAGAAGATATCACTCATCTCCTGTCCACATTTCACAAAATATTATTATAATGAGAGCATAAAAGTCACACCCTTATGATGTTATGTTTCAACAGGTTTAAAAACGTTATCTTTGAAATCAATCCAACAGAAGAAGTTGGAGACTTTGAAGTGAAAGCCAAATTCATGGGAGTCCAAATGGAGACGTTTATGTTGCATTACCAGGTGGGTGCGCGCCAGGCAGAGCTGAGAGCTCTGCGTCCCGGGTAGGAGAGTAGGCGAAAGGGGGAGATCGTCTGGGGAAAGCGACGCGCATTCAGCAGTGGGCTGGGCTCCCCGCTGGGGAGTGGGGGCTGAGGGTCTGTGTGTGTCTGGTCTGTCACTGGAGAGCTTTTGCAGATGTGTAAATCTTCAACAAGCATTGCCCGAAGGCGCCACTTCATATTGCCACTAAATTGAGCTCATACCTTGGACTTCAGCAAAAGCTTAAGTGTAAGTCTTGAAAATACAAAATTGTGATTTTGATTTGATATAAGGGCTTAAAGGTGTATTTTGGAAAAGGTGTGTGTAAATTGCATCTTTGTAAATGGAATTCCATTTTAACTTTTTTGAAAGAATCGTTTTATAGTGTAGTCCTTAAATTTTATTATGAACTATCTGGAATGTTTATGCACTAAAAAGTATCACAGAGAAGACAGGTGGTGATTATACAGCATCTTGCTATGCTGATGGACAGTGACTGTAGTGGAGTGTGGGGGGGGACTTGGTGAGGGAGGGGAGCCTGGCAAACATAGTGTTCTTCATGTAATTGTAGATTAATAATAGCAAAAAAAAAAAAAGTATCAGGCATCAAGGACTCCTAGGTAGCACCCAGACCCCTTTAGCTCTGTGTGCACAGCGCCCGTGTCACCCTCTGCTGTTCCATGCTCTGCACTCCTCCACTGGCCTGCTGCCTCTCTGAACATGCCCTGGGCTTTTGCACCTGCTGCTCTCCCTTAATTGGGGGCCCTTCTCCCTCCTTTATTCCCCTGTCGTTACTGCGTAATGTGTGTTACCACCCCTAAAATCTCCCCAGCCAGCCAAGCCACAGCCGGTTTCTCCTCGGCTTCCATGGCCTGTGGAGACGGCCTCTGTCTGCTGGAGGGTTGACTTAGTTTCCTCTCATCCCCAAACTGAGCTCCTTAAGGACAGGTAGTATTTCTTTGTTTCCTTCTCAGTAGCTAGTAGACCTTCAAAACGTGTTGGCTGAACGTGTGAAGCGGCTCTGTGCTGCACACGACCACCTCAGGGGCCTCCACGGAAAGACGCTGCTGTCGCCTTCGTTTCACCAGGTTCTCAGGGGCCGCCCAGTCCGCCTCAGCTCCTGCTTCCGTCCCTGCACAAATCGCTGCAGAGGGAGTGACTGCAGGTGGGAGGGGTTCCCTTGGTCCTCGTCCTCGGGGAGCTCCTAGGATTTTCCAGACGAAGAATTGGTTGAACTTTTGGGCTCCTTTTAAACGCTTTGCCTCTTGCTTTCTCATCACCCCTTTTCTAAAGTTGAGGGGCGAGACCACCCAGATTTCCTACATTTGCTCTGGACCGTGGAGAGCAGGGGAAAAGCAGGGGCCTTGCAGTAGGACCCAGATTCACCCCATCCGGCTCTGCTGTTGGGTGAGTCCTGATACCCGTGAGCCTCAGCGTTAAATGCAGGACAGTCACACCTGGAAGGATTTTTATCAGGACTAAAAGAGGCTCTGTATGACGTGCTTATCCGCTCGAGCTCGCAGCAGGCACCGAAAAATATTTAGTCCTCTTTTTCTCCATTGGCTTCCGACTAAATGCTTTCTCATGTGAAACAGAAGTTAAAACTGCAGTAGCTTTTTTGAGATGACATCACTGGCCTTGACTTGTTTCCGGTGATGAGTGCATTTCATCAGGGAGGGAAATGCGTGCGTCTTCTCGGGGGCCTGTCCCTCAGCCAGACCGGAGGCGCGCCGGTGTGGCTCCCCGAGTGGAGACCGCGTGTGTGAGGCGAGCCTGCTGCTTCTAGACCCCTGTGTTCTTTCGTTCTTTATTCCTCTGTGTGTTTTGATACGAACCCCCTGACTTCTTAACTTCAGATGTGCCAGAAAATTCGCTTGGCCAGCATGCCCTCTTCTTCGGGCTCTCAGGATGGTTGTGCACTGGGCGGTCCCACCGTTGGGGGCTCAGTTCTCACCCCTCTTCACAGCTGGCATGCAAGGCACGCCTCTCACGGGGACCCCTGCCCACATCACGTCCTTCCTTAATCCACAGACTTGATTAACTATCAGAATGTTTTTTTGAACAGGACCTGCTGCAGCTCCAATATGAGGGCGTTGCAGTCATGAAATTATTCGATAGAGCGAAAGTAAACGTCAACCTTCTGATCTTCCTCCTCAACAAAAAGTTCTACGGGAAATAGTCGACCACTTGCTGCCGGCCCAGAAGGATGAAGGAAAGGCGCTCCCCCTGGCTACCTTCCCAGGGCCTCTCAAAGGCCCAGCCCACAAGTAATGCCTCAATTTGACAGACTCCCAGGGCCACATTCCTAACTCCTCCCACTTTGAGGGGGCATTTATTACCCTTTTTTCATTGTGAAATTGTATTTTAGGCTTAGTCTGGCCCTTCCTGTTCCTTCATTTTCTTCTGTCACTTAAGAAAGAGTGGAAACTCCGCTAAAGTCTGTGTTGGGCTCCGAGGTTGCATTACTATATTGTAGGCTTTGGTGTTGTGTTAATTAGCAATAGGGATGGTGGGGTTTGAATTCTTGCTATTTAGAAATAGAAGCTGTTAGCACCAACAACATAAGCACATATGAGACACAATCAAAATGTAGGGTTTTCTATAGTTACTAGGTTTCCAATTAAAAGTGAAGTTTATGTTTCTGTCCCATCAGGAAAATTGAAGGACACAGGGGATCATTGGTCCTCTTCCGTTTTGTTCTCCTTTATGGGCAGAAGCTAATAAAAGTCACTGTCCTATGTGCAGAGGAAACATGCCTAGGAAAGGGAGGTATTGGTTTTCAGTCTCACCCTTACCCTTGGACAGTTCTGTCAGAGTAACTCATCAGTGGGTGGGAGAGTCCCACGGGTAAGATTCAGCTCTTTGGGTAATTCAGGACCGTCTGGTGCCTGCTTGTTTGTGTTGGGGACAAATGGACTAGATTCAGGAAGACAGCCCACCCTGTCCCTGTGGCAAAGGAAGGAGTTAGCCCTTGCGTAGAATATAATTGTTTTCAGAACTGTTTTATATCTTAAGAGTGCCTTATTAAAGTATAGATTTATTTCTTAAAATGTGGGTGATAGGAATTTTAAAGATTTATATTATGCTTCAAAAGCCTTTAAAATACTGTAAGAAAAGGGTTTTTAAAAATTGGCTTATCTGTATATCTGAACTCTTAAAGCTTTCTTAGAGCTAAAACACTAGGATTTATCTGCAAGGTTGCAGAGAGATAGGCCTGCCTTCAATAGACTGAAACAAAAACAAACAAAACCAAGCAGTCGATGTTACACTTGATATTAAAATCTATTTTTCCCCATTGCTTACTCTTTTACTGCCCACATTGTGCCATCATTCTGTGAGCTCCAGTTTTCTGGGTCTCATCAAAAAACAACTGAGTTTTAAAAATTGATTTTAGGAAGCTTTTGTTCTTAGATCGTGTACTTTAAAAAAAATCTATCCAGGAAAATATATTGAAATCATGCTATTGAGCCTCCATTTTCTCTGATGTTTTGGTTCAGTATTTTTTATCATAAAACTTAAACTAACATTTAAACATTTACTGATGTATATTTAAAGCTAATAAACTGTTTCGCTAATAACAGATTATGTGATGTGTCCCTAATACAAGTGCAAGTATTGGAGACGTGTTTCTCACGCCAGTCTGCCCGGTCTCACGCACCAGTGCAGGTGTGACTGCCTGAGCGCACAGCCTCCAGGCGGCCCCCTCGCACGCGGGGGACAGGCTGCGATGGGCAGCGCCATGGCCAGAGTCTCACTGCCCTGACCTGGTTTTTTTGTTGTGTTTTGGAGATAATTTTTTGATGCAGATTTTCCTCATATTAAAAGAAGACACTGTCTCAAGCAGCATCAACTCAGAAACTGAGACCAACGTGTCAGCCCTTTACCCTGATACGCTTGTGAGGCCCCAAAGGCCACATCCATGGCAGACAATGAGCAGAGTTTACAACTTTAAAATCAGGATGTTTCAACTATTTGTCAGGATTGTAGTTCCCTTGACCCGTCTCTAACGCAAAGTAGCACAAAATGGACTTGGAGAACCTCGGTGGTAGCTGTGTAGAACTGGTGGTGACAGCATGGGCATGCCCCGGGGGGCACAGGCTGTGGCGTTGAAACCGTGTGGCTCTGACCACTGTTATTTATTCGCTCTAGCACTCTCTCATCTCTCAGTTTCTCTGACCTTAGCTTGGAACAGCCATCATGACATTTACCATGACTTGACCTCCTCCCAGGAATTTGGACTGCCCATCAGATGGCTGCTGCACACAGTTGCCTTTGTATCTATATGAAATAAAGGGTCATTTGTTCATGTTTGTTTATGTTTCTCAGTCTCATTGTTAGCAGTTCTTGCTAAACAGAGTGTTGACTAGAATGAGATTTAATAATTGAAAACCGCAACTGAAAATAGCCCCTTCATAGACTTTTTGAAGGAGCAGGCTCAAGTTAGCTATCAAATTTCACTGGATTATCTCAAAGTGATTTTTAACATGTGAGTTTAGCCTTTTAAAATGCAATAAGCTTAAAGTAGCCTCAATATAAAAAGAGGTGGGGGTGGTGGGGAGAGACATCATGTCACTTGGCTCTGATTGGCTAACGACTGAAAGCTGAAAATTGCAGCAGCGTTTAATATTTTACGAAGAGCAGCGCCCTAGGTGTCGAGCATGTAGTCATAGTATGTTACATACCTGGCACCAGAAAAGACCAGGAGAAGGTTGATAGGGAAACAATAGCAGAAGGAAAAAAAGTGGCTTCCCTTTAAGTAAGGCCCCATGGGGTAGCCTGCCTTAGCAACCCAAATATGTATGTAAGCACCCTGCTGTGTCTATAAACTGGCCAGGCTGTATTGGAAAATTAGTGACAATATGAAATAAGAGGTAAAATGGAATAGTTCTAAAGTAAACAAGTGAGAAGTTGGGGGTGAGTGGCTGGAGATGACCCCACCCACCTCTGAAGTGTGCTAAGAGTATGGGTTTGCTGGCAGGGGGCCCCCCGGGGAGTGAGCCGTCTGAGCCTGTTTCCTTTCTGAAGTGGGGAGGATGCTGTCTGGTACCTGTGTTACTGAAACCCTAAATATATTGACATAGGCTCTGTATTGTCCTGCAATGAAACAAAGGGAGTGGAAAGGTACTTGGCAAGGTGTCACAGTGTCAAACAGGGAAACCGGGAGGAAGGCAACGGGGCTAGTGCACAGCCAGCGGCCCCTGTGCCGACAGTGCGGCCACGCAGAAGGCTGCCAGGAGCTGCCACCACAGTGCCACCCCTGTGCCTGGATGTCCTGAGTTTATAACAAGCTTCATAAAGTGCTCTTATCTTAATATATATACAGTTCTAAGGGGGAGGAAATGCCTTGATTAGCAGCATTTGCCAATTCTATGGTGTAAGTACTCCCCACAGCTGGTTTCAAGCTTGGTGTCCCTTGTCATTGAATATAGGGTTGGAAAGTAACAGTCGGCTCTTAGGAGCTAGTACTAAACGTTTTATAACAAGAATAATAGGGAGCAATGGGTGTGTTTAATGAAGAAAAGCAAAACATCTGATTGGGGCTTTAGAAAGAGGAATGGAGATAGAAGGCAAGAGTCTGGCCAGGTGGCTAGATGGCTTATGTGTCCCTCCAGATTCAGTCTTCTCCCCCCCCACTCCTCTGCGCCTGGGAAGCTGGCTGCGTGGACTGCGTCGGTCTCTGTCCGGCTTCTGGTTGAGTTTGACCACTGGCAGGCATCACAAGGAGATAAGAGGTCCACAGGGAGGCAAGGTCAGGACTGATTCTCCCAGGTCCCTGAACTAGCTGCCTCTCCCCACCAAAGGCCAGAGCCCCCGACAGGCAGCTCTCTCCAAATAAGACCCCTGTCCCTGTGGCAATAAGCCATCCCTCCTCACGTCCCTTCAGGCCAGCGTGCTAATGATCGCCGCTCTAACGAGCCCCGGGGGTGCTGCATTATCTCTAAGCCCTGCCCTGTCTATTAACTTCCTGCCAATCACAAGTGCAGTTGGAGTGTGCCGTCTGTTTCCTCCTAGGCCTCTGATACGCAAGTGGGCCAATTAAGGCCTCAGTTAGTGAGAGGTTTGGTGGCCTGAACTGGAGAGTGGTGGTTAGGATGGAAAGAGGTGGATGAATTGTAGAGATATTTAGGAAGTAGAGTTTATTTACTGGATGGTGGGGGAGCAGTGTATCACCGGGCCAACAAGACGACCTCAGGAGGTGATGAGTGATCAAGAAATTTAGGGAAATGTGTTCTATCATCCTACTTGCAAATCACAACACACATCCACATATTAAAAAGCTTTGAGAAGTCTCACAGTCAGGAAACCTGCTTTCCCCAAATGTATTCGGCAGTGCAGTCCCCCCCGTTACTTTCCAGGCTAACCCCTGTTAGTCATCTTGAACCTCATGTTCCACGGAACCACTCTGAAATGCTGGAGGAGGAGGAGGAGGCTAGAAGAGAACCTGACTTTTAGCTTTTAATAGCTAGTCAATATTACTTAGGAAACAAAAAGCAAAAATGTGCAATTGTATCACGGATGCTAAAGGATTTTGGATTCTTTTCTATAATTTGAGTTTGGTAAAAATATTTGTTAAACACTTTGGGCCTTAAATTGCCAGTATTTATTCTCTAGTTTGCCCCTGCTTGTTTAGGAAGTTATTTTTACATGAATATGTAAGAATGTATACTTGATAAACTTAAGGTACTCAAAACCATTGGTCTTTGTTTCTGGAGGAACATATTCCTGATTCCTATGGGTACAGGGGCACAGAGGTCTGGATGCTGGAGGAAAAATCTGGAAGTAAGGGTTGAAAAGACATGTAATAGAAAAGATTATAAGAATTAAAGGATAACTCCTCTCATTAAAAGCCAACTCAAAACTGGTTTCCCAATACACAGAATCAGTGCCCAAACGACCCTTTTCATGTAAAGAAACCAGCTTTGCTTGCAGAAATGGCTAATTGTGGAGCAGGGGGAAAAAAAAACAGTACAAAGTGAGCCTAAATCATGTGTCCAGGAAGAAAACAAAAAACTAAAAAATGGACGGGGACATGTTTAAAAGACACAGAAGCCAGCTTGGATAATTTAAGTATAAAAATACTAGGAGTGGATAATGATCAATTGGTTAAATAAGAATTCATGAGCCCATTCTGATACAGATAGGAAAAGGGATGCTAAAACTAGTGGTGCAAGTTTGTTGAGTAATAAGATATTTACACAGTCTCAGAGTATCTGCCTTCAAGAGTCTTATTGGTCATAAAGGGGAAGAAAGCAGAAACTTTACAGTGGAGAAACCTGGCAGACATCACCTTAACCAAGTGATCCAAGCTAAATGTCACTAATGCGACAAGCTGACACCATGTGCCTCCTGATTGATGATCTGAGAAGAATGCAACATTGCTCCTGTGCTGTTCCTGCCAAAAATGCACAATCTGAAATTAAACATGAAAACACAAAATACAAACCTTAAGGGACGTTCTACAAAATAACTGACTTGTCACATCATAAATTTTCAAAATCATGAAAGGCAAAAGTTGAACAACTGTCCCAGATTAAATGAGCTAAAGAGACATGGCAATTGAAAATACATTTTTCTTTTGCCATAAAGAATATTAATTGAGACAGCTGGTAAAACTTTTAATAACATCTATAGATTCTACAACAGTATTATATAAATGTTAATTTCCTGATTTTGATCATTATACTTGGTTATGTAAGAGAACATCCTTGTTTTTTTGAAATGAACACTGAAATTTTAGGGATAAAAGGGCATCTTTTCAACTTACTTTCAAATGGTTGAGAAAAACAAGAATAAAGCAAGTACAATAAAATCTTAACATTGGGGGAATCTGGGTAAAGAGTATATGGGAATTCCTTATATTATTGCAACTTTTCTGTAAATCTGAAATTACATAAAATAAAAAGTTTTTTAAAAGAAATGAGGATCTTTAAGTGCATCAAGAATGATTTTGGCTGTAAGAAATGGAAAACTGACCTAAAGTGATTTAAACAAATTAACTTCACCTAAGTCTAAAGGAAAAGAGTTGCAAGTGTTGGTTTAGCTACTTAACAATGTCAAGGCTGGTGCCTGTCTCTGAATACTGAATCTGCTGTTACGATTTCTCCTTTCATGGTTGCAAGATGGCTCCATAGCTCCAGGATCACATCTGTATTCAAAGTACAAAGAAGGACGGGGCCAGCTGCCCCTGAATCTGTCCCTTTCATCTACAAACCAGAAGTTTTCCTAGAAGCTTTTCAGTAGGCTTTCCCTTACATCTCAAGACCAACGTGGTCCTGCGGCCGGCCCCATCTGTGGGGGAGGCCAAGAAGTGGCACCTGCCATTCTAGTCTTTGCAGGAGAAGTCAGGAGGGAATGCTTACCATCTCAAACAGTTGAATACTCCTGACTTGAAATCTATAGAGACCACATTAATTCTTTGATTCATTCTATTATGCAATTCTTGATGGCAACATTTATTAAGGTTTGACCCATAGACCACCTTTATCAATCACTTATATTATAAAGGCAGAATCCTGGGCTGCAGCCCAGTCTGCATAAATCGTAATCTCTGGGGATGGGATCTAGGAATATACATTTTAAACATCTGGATTCCAACAATCATAAATGCAAGTAAATGAAAAACTTAGTAAAACTCGTAGAAATGCTGGATTCGACATAAGAAAAAATATAATGAGCAGTTGATCTTACAGTAAGGAAAATCCTTGTGTGACTAAAAGTCAAATAGTAACCAGCACATGGTTATCTAGCCCAGCTTCAAGTTTTTTGTTTTTAATGAACTAACATCCATACTTTATTCAGATTTCGACAGGTTTTCCTGTTACTGTTTCTGTGCTCCAGGACACTGCATGACATATAGTCATCTTGTCACTTTAGGATCCTCTGGGCTGTGAGAGCTGGAGTTTCAGTGTTTAATGCCCACTTGGTAAAAGGAGACGATGGGCTTTTATGAGCCAGGGAGTTAAACTGGGAACCCAAATCAGGACCCTCAAAATGATGCCCCCTCAGGTGTGTTGGAAGAGGTTATCCTCAATGGGCTCTGAGCAGTCTTGGACATTCTTATCAGTTATGCCACAGACACAAAGCTCTGATCGTTCTTTGCTGGGTCATTTCTCAGGGTTGTGCTTGTAGCAACTTTGAGCTGCTTGCTGTATGGTGTCACGGACCCAGGATTCTCATTCTTGCTAGTATCCATGAAACAGACAGTTAATGTACTAGCTTGAAAGTAGGGTAAAATGCCAACCTGCAATGATGAAATCTATGCACTGGCAAAGTTAGCTAAGAAATTTGACTTTCTGGCTGGGCTCTGGGAG